TTTTCTTTACTGAAGGTAATTATAAATTATATTATGATTTATTTGTATAAGACTATATGCTAAAATTTATGAGATTTTCACATAATGTGTATTGAAAGGCAACAAATAATTGGTTAGTTAGCTATTTCCAGCTCTAATCAATAAATTTATAATGCAATGAAAATAACTTTTAACTATAAAATTTACTTTTAACATTAAAATTCCCATAAGAAAAATAAGTTTAATTTTGTGCACAATAGTGTCTGAAACTCTATTCCCCTCCCATTATAATGATTGCTTTTATAAGGATTTTGGTAATTTGGGAGTGTCTTAGCCATAGAGCTTTCAGATTTTTAGCAGAAAAGGCAATATGTAGTAAATGTCAATAAATCTTCATCTGAAAAACTATGTGTACATACAATATTTATACTCAATGCAGGTATTAAGAAGCATATAGGTTATATAAGAAATGAAATAAAAAGCTAGGTAAGGAGACACTTGCTAATAATTATGAAGAAATTTCAATGTTGATTTTGCTATGTTAATTATGGAGGCATTTGAGGAGACATTGATATATTAGTGAAGTGAGTCTTAACTAATGAAAAAGATATTAAACCGAGAAACAGTAAAAAGAAAAGCCATTGAATTTCATAAAATTAAGGCATTAAGTCAGATTTATTCAGTAAGTAGTGTTCCTCAAATCTTTGTGACTCATTTAAATCAAACAAAACTTAATCATTTGATTTGCTTGGCTTATGAGGGTAAAAACAATGAAAGTCTGACTAGCAGGTTTTATCAATAACCTTCTGAGGTATATATTACTAACCACAAAGAAAGCTTAGGTGACTTGTTGAAGGTCTCACAGGGAGTGAGTGGATAGTTGGGATGGCACAACCTGACACCCAGTCTGCACTCCTGTGTCGGGAACTGCCCTGCCTGCTTTCAGGAGCTGTAACCCTGCCCATAGCTAAGGCTGAGTGAGCGACCTTGGGACTATAAGCCACTAAGGAGACAAAGCTTATCTCCCTGGCAGGGGTACTGCCTCTGCTCCTTTTACCCTGCCTGGCCCCCAATGCTTGATCAGTTAGCCAATGACCAGCAAGATTCCTCAAGGAAGGGACTATCTAAGACAGGCACGATTACAGGGGTCCCCCCAGGGAAGGACATGGGCGCTACAGAAAGGGGGTGATGGACCCTCGCTTTTTGGCTTTGACATAGCCTGAGTCCTCATTCTGTCTGCTAGAAGTCTCCTAATCTCTTGGCTGCCTTACTTCCCCTGCCTGACTTAAGCCTGAAACAATGCCTTAAGCCTGGCACAATGCTTGTGGTAGGTTTAGCCCTGTGCTGAGACGGGTGGGTTCCCTAGAGTGATCAGGCCTAAGAAAGAATATGTAAAATCCTGTGAAACCTGCTTTTTTTAGAAGGCTCTCAATTAAATGATAAGGGTACAAGCAGGAAGTGAGTTTGTCCCCCAAAATTCTATGGCCATTTAGCTATCTGACCTTGACTCAAAATAGGCCCTCAAAGTTCTTTGTTATCCTTACTGCCTGATAATGATTAAAGAGCTTTATGTATATACCTTGTATTCCTATGCAAATTAAATCCAATAAAAGTTACTCAAGGCCAGTGTCTGGGTGCTCTCCTCTTGAGAGAGTGGCCAAGGTCCTCAGGGGCTAGCTCTCCCCTTGAGAGAGAAGTTGCATTGTCCCTTTACCTCGGCAGGACTCATAGTCTGTGTGAATTTATTTCATCTCTTTCATAATACTGCAGACACTGTGGGCCGGTGTTCATGTCACTCCCAACCTCTGCACGGCATTTCCTCACCAGGAGTTGTGTGAATGTGGCAGAAATGGTGGGACTGGTGTGTCAAGGCACTAGCTGCTGAGTCATGGTCTAATGTTGTTCCCATTATCTGGGTTACCACGGGGAGAGGATGACTCAGCTATTTTCCCCTACCCAGAATACACCTAGACCCAAGTACACATAGAGACATGTACATTGTCAGTTTTAAGGCAATTCTTCAGTGTAATAATTCAGAATTATAAATACCTAAAGATAATTTTTAAAAAGCTCACATTCATGTCTTTAGATCTAGAACTCTGAGGGTCTGAGATATGATCCTATTTATGAGCTAACAAGTTAGGCTGCCATAGATTCATGAATGCTAGAAAAAAAGACTTGAGATTCCTGGGTCAGAGACAGAAGATTTATTTATGGCAAAACAGAGAGTAAGCTTCCTGTTTGCACTGGTTCCCTGACCTACACCCAGATCCCTTGGGAGTCGCTAGAAGATGGGCCCAGGTAGGTGCTGTGCATGCAATGGGCTTGTGTCAAAGCTGAGAGTAGCAGTCTTTAAAAGGGGTTTCAGGCAAACCTGGCCAACCCTGCCCAGAGTGTGGGCTCACCATGCTTTATCATCTTTATCATATTGGGCAGCAAACAAATCTGCTCCCTTCCCAGGAGAGTGACACTGTTTCTATCTCCCAAGGCTGTTTGCAACTCATGAAAAGAATTCCTTGGAAAGGCAGTTTTGAAAAGACAGTCTGGAATAAAAGTTATTAGTAACTCTGTTCACAAGGCATGCATATACACATAAGGGGCCCATAAAAACTGCCTTCCCACAATATATTACTTTCTACAATCCTTGGTGTCTTATTTGACAAAAATCCTGTTGATTATAGGGAGAATCTTATATTTTTTTATTTTATAGATTTTTCTACTTATAATTCTATTGGCTAGGTAAGACTAATGTAGTTTCTGTGACCTAAAAAATAATTCAGCTAATGAAATATATAGGTGTTCAAGAAAAAAATCCTAGATACACAAATTGATGTTTAAAGGGAATAATTCTTATAAAAGAAAGGATTCATATAAAAAAGTTTTTCTCTTATACTGTATGAATTCTTTGCTTATTTTTCACTAGCTAATCGACCAGGGGTCAAGGTGCTAAGTGTAGGGTATGTGCTGGAAATCACTGGAAAGTGAAAAAGAAATAAAAGTAAAAATAATGTATTTCCTAATTTATATTATAAATCAATATAAAAAGTGAACTAAATTGATACTCTTTGAAGGACTACATCTATTATTTTAAGCAATGTAAACCTGCCCTAAAATATCATTATATGCATAATGCATCACCTTCCTAGTTTCCAAGGTGTGACACTTCCAAGTGTGAGCACTTTGGGGCCAAGCCGCCCTTTAATAATTGGAAGATTTTAAATTCTAATGAATGCAGTCTACTCCTGGAATTTCAAAGATATTTGCTTACTAAAACTGAGCTTTTTTATTTAGATAAGGAAGGTTAGATTTCATCCCACTTTGATGAACAAAATTAAATCACAGGAAGTTAGTTATTTGTCCAGTGTTAATGGGCAAAAAAAAGGCACTGATGTTGTGTCATTGCGTCTTGGGTATATGAGAATCAGGGGGTCAGAGCAGCTCACATTTTTTTAATCTCAGCTTCTACAAGAAATTAGTAAAAACTGAAGCAAGAAAGCAGGCAGAAGTTCCTGGCAGCTTGAAGTGAATGGGAGCAAGCGGCCAAAGGACAGCAAAAGGTGCTGGTCATTTACTCAGTAGTACTCTTGAAGTTTTTGGCTGTTTCAACACCAAATAAAATTATTGTTCTTCCTTTTAGGGAGCCCGTCTGTTATTATTGATGACCAATGCAAGCTGAAAAATGGCGCAATTTTATAACATCCAAAATATGTTTGCAGTAAATTCTGGAAGATTTGACCTCATCCATCAATTGAATAGGTTGTCCTAAATACATGGGATCATTCAACCCACAGCATCTTTGTAGTAGTTGACAAGCTATCCTTGTTCAGTGCAACATTTAAACCTTGTCCTTCAGAAAAGTGGAATGAGAGGGATGTTATCACGAAACGTCAAAACCTAAAAGCAAAATTTGATCTAAGTGGTCGAGTGTGTTAAAGGTGAAAAATAAAGCTGGTAAGGCTGTTATTTTATACACTCTTGTTTTCCTGGCAAGTGGAAATTCTTTCAGAGGCAGGACCCCTTTTTACTCACGTTTCATAATTCTTCGTTCACCTACACATAAGCTCTGAACTAACAACATTAAGGCCATGTTAACACATTTATGTAGGTTTTTAATCACTGTGTGGTTATTAGTTTGGGGTATGTTTTAATGACTAGATCTTCAGACCTCGTCTGCTTCTCACCAGCATTTAGGTCATGTATGTGTCACAGAATGAATGGGGATACAGAACAAAAGATCAATATAGACTTAATCTGACACTGACAAATATTGCATTTATTATTAATTATTCTTTATTTAGCACTTATCATACCAGTGCCTGTGATAATAGTTGTGGTAGCAAAGAGGATGATGAAAGTAATATATTTTCCTTAGAGACAGTGCAGGTGTGTCCTAAGAGAAACTTGTCATCTAAAATTTTGGCTAAATACTGTCATTACTTGGGGGTGAGGTAGGGTTGTCAGATAAAATACAAAATGACTGGTTAAATTTTAATTTCAGATAAAGGATGACTTTTTTTCATAGTATAAGTATGCCCTAAGTATTTCATGGAACATATTATACTAAAAAAAATAAATAGTTACTTGTAAAAATTCAAATTTAAATTTAAATTTAAATTTCAAGGTCTTTTTTATTAAGCCTGGCAGCCCTAGGGGGAGAAGAACCCAACGGTTGAACAGAGGAAGAGGTCTATGGAAGTCTGAAACAGAAAAATTGAGAACCCACTTTCCGCAGCGAGGCAGCTCTGGTAAGGTTTTCTCTATATCCATCCCTAGTTTACCATACAAGTGAAAGCCATTTACTAAGGCAGAAACGTTTGTCCTCATCATGGTCCCCGCTCAGTTTTCAAAGTATTTTCTTTTTCGCTAGGACTAGAATAAGTAACGCATCACTCTGTTTGGAGACTGATTAAGTTTTTCTCTCCGAGGCACTAGATGGCAGTATCAGCCCACCAGACCCCACCCCCTTCCAGGCATCCCCGGAGCCAATTTTCTGTACTTCTTCCTCTTTTTCTTCCCGGTTTCAGCTTGTCACTTTTCTTCTCCCTTTTTGTTTTCTATTTTTACTTTTATTCAAATGCCAGGAAAACCAGCTGATTGAAGAAGTCATGCGGTGCTTCACACGTTTGTTACAGAGGTGCTGTGAGTGAAAAGCTTAACTAATTTTCGAGGCTGCCAGGGCTGAATATCAGACAGGAGGGCAGTGCCCTGAAAGCAGTGGCTGGGCAGGTGAGAACGCAGAGCTTGATCACGCTTTGCTGTGCCTCGGACACGAGGCCGAGCATCCTGCATGTGATAATCTCTCCGGGCTGCTGGCAAAGACAGCCAGGTGCTACTAGGAAGGACAGGTGCTCATGTGAGACTTCCCGAAGATTGGAGGTAGGATTTTAGCGGCTGTGACAAGTTCTTTTTCAGGACATGAAGTTTCTTTTCACAGGAGTAAAACCATTGAATTGCAAAACTTCACACATGGAGGTGTCAGGAATTGATCCTGAGTTTGTAGAGTAAGTACTCCTTCGAGATTTTTAAAGTTGAGGGAAAGGAGAACTCCATTTTTGTTAAAAACAGAATTCCCTAAAATTCTTGCTCCATTTAACTGAAGAAAATAAATTAAGTGAATTTGTGTTCATTGTCTTTACTAAGAGCACATTATCCATGTTGAAAGGCACTCCTCAACATGGTATTCCTTCTCCTTCCATGTCTATGTCCGTCCCTTCTGTGCTTGTCCCCAGACATCAGAGTGCAGAAAGATCTGTGTGAGATGTATATGCAGAATTTTCGCTATTGTCATTGACTGCTACTGCTGTCTCAGGATCCACACGTTAGTTCCTTGCAGGGGTACAGCTTCTCTCATTTGATTATTTCCTAGCAGGTTAAGTAACCAGCATGGTTTGTGTCCTATTAGCACAACTTCATTGTTCTTTATGTTTGACAATCTAAAATTTGGTCTGATATACAAGTATCTAATTTTAGCTGGACATTTTCCTTCACCTTCTTCTCTAGTTTAGTGAAGAAACCAAAGGCAGCACTGTTCTAAAATAGTAGTTTATTTATTTAAAAAATTGCATATTTATTCTTACATGTTTACTCTTCAGTCAGCTTCAAAGTTCTCTCCATTTGATGCAATCACCTACTGAGATGTTTTTTTTTTTTCTACTGCTCAAAACAGGTTTGGAACTCGCTGATTTGGATGCTTTTTAGTGCTTCTGCCATTTTTTTGTTTTACCCATTCCATGTGGGCAATATGTTTCCCTTTGAGGACTTTGTTCATCTGGGGAAACAAACAAACAAACAAAGTCACTCAGGGTGAGATTGGGTGAATTAGAAGGGAGGGGCACACCAGTTCATGTCATTTTTGGTCATAAACTGCTGAACCCTCTCGCAGTGTGGGCAGGTGTGCTCTTAAATCACCCATCATGAAATGGGCAAATGTGTTAAAAGAGTCTTCAAAAAAAATTTACTGAAGCTGAACACAGCCTCTCACAACAACACCAGTTGGTACACTGATACAGATGGGTTCCTAGAGCACTCAGTTAGTGCAGGGAGCTTATATTACAAAGGGCCCACTCTCAAGAAGATAATTCTGTTTTGGTGGGGATCCCCACCTTGTGTATCTCTGGAATTAATTTTGGTCCTGGAAAGGGTAACTTCTGCTAAGATAGTCTTCTCTAAGCACAAAGAATTCTGTCCTTGACACTATGGATAATTGATTGCTTAGCGATGAATGGAATTATGTAAAGAGAAGTACCTGGTACATACTGTCACTTGCTCTGATGACCCAACCTCCCATTTGCTTTAGATGTGTCCTCAACTCTTTCTGGAGAAGGGCAGAGTGTTCAGGGCTCTCTTGCTATCATGAGAATATTCAACTCCCTGGATAGCACCTTGATATAACTAAGTGTGTGTCAATCATTTGGTTCTTGTTTCTGTGGAACATTTGAAAAAAATAATGGAATTCTGTATGTAAAATTCTACTTTGTAATTATTTGTAAATTATTTGTGTTATTTTGCACTGGTGATTAGAAATACATGGTTTTCCTTAGAAGAGTTTGTAAAGTCATATATCAGAAGATTATCACATAAACAGATAGAAATTACTGTTTGATAACATTTTCCATCGATGAATGTATAATTTGAGATGTTCATTCATTTGTTCATATTTTATTCATTTATTTGACAAGTATTTATTGCACATCTTTTGTGTGTCAGGCACTGTGCTAAGAGCTGGCTAGACAACACAAAACAAAAAGATCAAAATGGATATTGCTGCAACTTCCACGGTACTCAAAACACATGAGATGGTGTGTTTTAATGGGAGTCGTATGTGCACTTAGTGATTTTAAAGTCGAAGGCAGTGTGATGTTGTGGAAAGAGGAAAACAAACCAGTGTAATGGATTCCTCCCTTTAAATGCACATGTTTTCTAGTCTTTGACCTCTCCCTCTGTTCCTATGTCATGAATGTGCAGATACAAACATGTTTATCACTTTAGACAATTATTTATAAAGTTTCCCAACTAGGAAAATGTCAGTATATCTCCTAATTAAAACTTAACCCATATACTTATATACAATAATAAAATTTGTTGAAAAACTATTTAGATGTATTCTAGAGACAGTGGATAGCATAGTAAATAAGATGATTAATATTCCTGGAGTTAACAATTGATTCTTGAACAACAGAGGTTTGAACTGCAGGGGTGTTTTTATATGCAGATTTTCTTCAATAAGTACTATAAATGTATTTTGTCTTCTTTGTTATGTTTCTAATAACATTTTCTTTTCTCTATCTTGCTTTATTGAAAAATAAGTATATAATACATATAACATACAAAATGTGTTAATCAACTGTACATGGTGTTGGAAGAGATGCTGATCAATAGTAGGTTATTGGCAGTTAAATTTTGGAGGAAGTCAAAGTTTTATATAGCCTTTGAACTATTCAGAAGCCGACACTTCTAACCCCCACGATATTCAAGGATCAATTCTGTATTTGAGTGGTTGAAACAATGATAAATTAGTACCATAAATTTTACTATGTTAGTATTAATTAGAATTAATTATTCTTTTTTAGTTAGTATTAATTAGTTAGTATTAATTAGAATTAATTATTTATTACATGGGTACAGAATTCTTGCTCCTATGTTCCCTAAATCAGTGAGGCCTAGTCAGCTGTCTCTGGGGAGTTAGTGTGCAGAGCAAGTGGAGTAGGCAACCTCCACCCAAGCACGGATTTCCCGAGATAAGGGCAGATTACAGCTCTTATGCTCCAAACAAAGTTTGCTTTCCCTAGTCCTCTGCCCCATTTCATAATAAATGCGAAATAAATGCAAGACAAGATTTATGCAAATAAGTAGATATTTACCTGCTCCCTTCACTAAAGTGGTGAAAGTGATGTTTGTTAAAATGTGGGTTTTTTAGAGAATGATTATTATTTTGACATTCAGAATAAGATTTGGTAGGCTATCAGATCTAGCATTTGCTTCTCTTGAGTCTCCCACTAACCCTAACCCCCATTCCCTCCCCCACTTTCATTATCTATCTGTGAATTCTGGAAGTTGATCACTAAGGATATTCAAAAAAGTTCTTCTGGGATCCAGAGAAGCAGCCACACATCATATATTGTATCTTGCTCAGCTACATGTGGTAAAGAAAAGTTCTCACAAGAATGTTCACATAAATCTTCCTTTCAAAATTCAGCAAAAATGCTGATGGAGAATTTTCTTTACAGGCAAAGTACAATGCAATGCAACATTTATGCCTTTCTGACAACATGGATTTCAATTGTCTCTCAGACCAAGACTTCAGAAACTGCTTCCATTTCATCCCAAAGCTTGAGCTTGCAAGCTCAAAACAGCTACATATAAATGTAAATGTAGGTGGAACTTTTACCCCTTAACATAAAATGCTTTTCATTTGATTTCTCTTCATTGCTGCCAAGATGAATAGATTGACACATTGCAGCTTGTAGTTTTTGGATTTTGTTGCAAATGTTCGAGCAAGGGGTTGATTGATTGGTATAAACATGTAGCAATGGCAACAGCTGCTTAAAAAAACATAAAGGGGAATGAAATGATTTAAAATAAATAGTAGTTACATTTATGAAGTACATACTGCCTGGATATTTTTAATTTTCCTTGCCTTGGCTAAAACTGAAACTCATTCAAATAGCAGTAAAATAGCTACACTCCAAATTCAAGTATTCATGCCTCAGAAGTATGAGTCTTCTTAAGACCTTTTTAAAAATATTTGTCTTTCTTTATTGCATTAGGTTTAACTTTCCAGTAAATGTTACCATATTTACTTGAAATTTTTAATTGTAGCAAGTTTACAGCAAATTGTCAGCTTACTCCTTAGTCTTGACTTTTATAAAGTATTCGAAAATGAAAAAATGATCGATAAGTATTTACTTTGTTATTGAAATTATTTACCTCTTATTTTCATAAATCAATGATGTCATGAGTCATATAGAGCTGACAACTGAAGTGGAAGTTTGTTTTTTTCAAAAGACCTCAAACTTTAAAAAACCGGTCTTTGAGTGATGTCCCATAACCATAAAATTCTTGTTCCCAGGGACAATTGGGTTTCAACAGCCTGGTATGCCACAGGAATTTACTTTCTCCAACTTTGGGATTAGTGAAAGCAATACTTTTCTTTGACATCTGTTTTAAAATGTGTGTTTTTATGGTCATATTGTTTATAAAAATAAGAGATTGTAAAAACCAAAATGGAAGTTAGAGACCACATGGTTCAAATCTCTGTTACTATGATGCTGTCCGTATGGACTGGAGAAGTTGGGGGACTTTCCCAACCCCTAGGAATCTCAAGAAAGTGAATGAAAAAGCCAGAAATAGAACCAAATCCCAAGTTTCAGTGTACAGTGATCTTTTCATGCTTTTAAAAAACTGTCTTCACAGTTTTTAGGATATTCCTTCTTCCTAAGACTTTACTCACATAAGTGGATTTGTGGTTTTAAGAATCAGAAAAAAATACCTGGCTGGCGTAGCTCAGTGGATTGAGAGCGGGCTGCGAACCAAAGTGTCGCAGGTTCGATTCCCAGTCAGGGCACATGCCTGGGTTGCAGGCCATGGCCCCCAGCAACCGCACATTGATGTCTGTCTGTCTGTCCCTGTCTCTCTCTCTCTCCCTTCCCTCTCTAAAAATAAATAAATCTTTAAAAAAAAAGAATCAGAAAAAAATAGAACCAGATTATAGATTTAGGTCTTAATTATTCATTTCTCATCTTCTTCCTGGAAGACAAGTTGGATTTTTGTTCTGTATTACTGGCAAGAAAGTTGAGGTAAAAAAAAGAAAAGGAAGAAGCACAATGAGACACTTCAGTTTCTAACTGAGAAAAAGGTTTGTTTCAAGGGCTTTATAAATCTATTGTTTGCAGCTCAGAATTTATTCTCCCATAAGAAGTCAAGTTGTACATAGTGGTTGAGTTTGTGTGGGAAAACGTCCAGAACACCTGGTTAATATAACTTCTACCTAAAATGTAGCTCTGAGTGGCCATCAGTGTGACATGTACACAGCACCTTTAATGACACTTCTATTGGAAAAATGGAATTTCATCTTGGAATATTGGGGTGCACAGGTTTGCTTATAGGGCTAAAGTAAGAAACTACATGGTCAGTGTAATACTTGGCACTTATTAGAGTGTTTTTCACTCCCAAACCATTCCTTTTTATATCTTTTCCTTAAACTGTAGCCAGGGAATAAATTTTGGCCTTTATTAAACACCTTGATGTGGGCCTGCCTCCAGCACATTCAGAGCCAAGGAGAGCGGGGGGCGGAGAGGAGTGGATACCTCAGGCTGGGATAAGTAGAAGAGATTATGCCACCATGTTTCAGAGACTCGGGCACGAGTTTACCTAGATTTTGAATGTGTTAAAGCTTCTATATTTTGGTGGGCTCTCTTTAAAAAAAAATAAAGTTATGAGTATAAAATGTTAACAAGAAAATATTTATTTCAGATAAGAACAGAAATAAACTGAAGTGATTTTCAAAAGCCAAGAAGTGCCACACACATCCAAAATAAAAAATAAACCAATAAAAAAACCCTAATATTTTTATTGATTAACTCTCTGGTCCAACTTTACAGTGCTCCTTCTAACACATTTTGACTGCATTTTCTTTGGCACTTTATATGAAATGATTTTATAATATTACTTTTATCTGAAGAATAAAAGAATTATTTAATCTTTCCTCTACCATGATTGATTAAAAGTTTTTATTGATATCAGGGGAAAATAAACATACTTTTATATACAGGTGTGCTTGTAGTTTATAAGATCATTACAGGCCTATGACCTCAAACATAAGATTTCATACATTCTATTTCATGTGATTTTTATTAGAATATATTATACATTTTATTTGCATACGATGCATTATTAAACATATTTCTGACAGGATGGAACTTCCATTTTGACTAGGTGTTAATAAGAACTGAATCTTCTGCTTATAATTTTATATCTCTGGTGACTGAAAGAACTTTCCACAGATTGGCTCCTGACACAGCCCCTTTAAATCTTTCTTTCCTGTTCACCACTTACTTCAATGGAGCAGCAGTACATGAAAGTGCAAGGGGATCCGGACAGGAGGTGATAGGGCTATTCCTAGAAACCTTTCTTACACTGGGATAGTTGGCAAAAACTCATTCAGAATGGACCAGAATATGGAACCACAAAAACATGTGTATTACACTAACTACACCAAATGTACACCCAACCAAACTTCCCTTTCACTGGATTTCCAAAACAGCTATGGCCACTCCAAGCCATCCCAGTGGGGAGGGATATGTAATGGTACCCCATTCAGAGTGAAAAGAAACAGCTGTTTTTACTGACTGTGGTCAGAATACCATAGTTTTGTATTAGTATATGTATATGTAGATTAATAACATCTGACCATGTGATTACACTGTTAACTGCCTGTTCAAGTGAGGGGTCTTGAGGCTTTAGTGGGTTTTGTGTATATCCAGTCTGGACTCAACCTATATTCTTTTCTTCTTGGCCACTTTTCTCCAGATACCAACCTAATTGCCTCTAGCAGGTGACCTGCCTGCTGTTTGTGAGTGGAGGATTCAGTTCTCATTGATAGCTAATCAAAACTGGGGTTCCATCCAGTGAGAATATATTTAAGTATCTTTATCCATACTACAAAGGAGCACTATATGTAGTTTATTGTAGATTTAACACAGACTAGATATAATTTATTGAGACTGTTAAACCATGTTCAGTGGAGTACACTTATTTACTTTTATTTTTAAAGACAATTTTTAGAGACATTTTAGGTACACAACAAATTTAAGAGGATGTTACAGAGCTTTCCCGTGTACCACTTGCCCTGCACATGTTCAACTTCTAGCTGCTCTTGAGGAGTTAGAAAATGGATAGCCCTGCATTTTTAAGATAATTCAGGAAACACTGCTTTCTCATGCTGACATTTGACTTATTTTCTCTTTCTTTCTCCCTCCCTCTCTCCTTTCCTTCCCTCCTTCTTCACTCTTTCTTTCCTTCTCTCTTACTTATTTTTAAATTTAGGAACCTCAGAAATATTGAATTAGTTTAATCATAATCTTTAGTTCATTATGCACTATAATCTTTTTTTAGGCATTGTCTTCTTTTAATGTAAAGTATTTTTCTCAATTTTTAAATAATATAATATAGTGAGCATTCAACTGAATACTTAAATAAACTCTGTGTTCCTCCACTTTCTTTCAAGTTCATGGTTGAGATCATCTCCCTCCAGAAGTTTGTGTTCATCATTTTCTGGAACATTCTAATATGCCTAAAAAATATATTTAGTTTTACTTGTTTTTGAACTTCATAAAAAGATTGTTATATTACTGTAATCTTTTGGGACTTGTTTTTCATTCAATTTTATATTACTAATCACTCCATGCTACAATAGTTAATTGTGTTAAATTGCTGCAATTTAGCCATTAATATTCCTCTTGATGGGAGTTTATATTGTTCCCTGATTTTAGTGATGACAGTTAGTGCTACAGTGAAAGTCCTTGTCATTGTCCCCTGATGCTTGTATGTAAGATTTCTTGAGTATTTTCCCAGGAGTAAAATTATGAAGTTATAGTTTTTCATTGTTTTAGCTTGTAAAGAGAATCTCAAATTGTTTTCAAGATACCTTGTAACTATCACATTCATATCTGCAGTGTATAAAGAGATCCTCTTCATCTCTTTGTCTTTCAACACACAATATTTTTAAAATTCTTAATTTTAGACAATTGAATAGGGGAAAAATGCTATCTCTCTATGGTCTTAATGTGATTTATGTTTTCTCATTTGGAAGTGAGACTGTCTCTTCATATAGCTATTGGCCAAATGGACTTCATCTATTTGCCTATGCTTTTACTGGGTTGTCTTTTTTCCCAAGAGATTTGTAAGAGTTGTTTCTATGTTCTTGATACTAACCCTTTGTCAGTTATAGATATTCTAAGTATTTCCTCTGAATATGGTTTGGCATTTTTAAAAAAAATAGACCTTATAATTAATGGAATTTATTAATACATACATACATACAATTTTCAAATTTTTCTTCTGGTTAGTGACTTTCGTATCTTATAAACAAAAATCTCTTTACACCAAACTCAGTAAAAAATGTTTATTTAAGATCGTTTTTAAGTTTTGCTTTTTACATTTTAGGGTCTCAATCAATCAGTCATTGATTTTTGTTGCTCTTATGAAATAGGCTTTTAATTTTATTTCAGCATTACACACCAAATTGTATTCCCAAGTTCTATTTATTTAATCCCTCTTATCCTCTACCCTTTCCAGCACCTTATGTGACCTTACACTTCCATAAATATGGTGCTGGTTTGCAGGCTCTCTAACTTCTCTTCTACTGGTTAATTAGGCAATTCCTATGCCAAACTACACTGTCTTTATTGCTATGGATATTGTTATATATTATAACAATTTATAACAATATAACTGTAGTGTAATGTATAATTGATATCTGCTGATATCTAAGTTCACTGACATTCTCTTTCTGCTTTGTGTGTGTTCACATGTGTTTTCTACCCACAGCTATACTAACATGGATATTTCCCATATCCAGATGATAAATGCATTTGTAGTCCTAACAGACTGATTTTAATGGAATCCTCATGAACTATATGGGTAGGTCAGTTGATGTCTCTTATATAGTTTTTTAAAATGCATGGTTATACTTAGTTATCACCTTGGATGATAGGTTTTCAAGCTTCAGCATGCATTAAAATCACTGGGTGGCTTGTTAAATTAAAGATTGATGGGCCCCACACATTGGCTTTCCAATTCAGTAGACTTGGAGTGAAGCCCAAGGATTTGAATTTCCATCAAATTCCCCAGTGAGATTAATGTGGACCCCCACACTGAGAACAACTACCTTAGACTAACTTTGCTTGTATAGTCTTTTGAATTCTTGTTTTTATTCATGTCTTTTTTGACCACTGCTTCAGTTTCAGTGGGGCATGTCAAATTCTGCTTCTTTGGGAAGATGGAGAGTCAGCTGAAAATTACCTCTTTAGGGAGATAATTTAAACATCATTTAAAATAACAGGCAATCTAGTGACCTAGATTGTGCAGTACAGTGGTTTGTGACACTACTTGCTGCCCGCACAAGCTTGGGCTTCCACCCTTTAACCATTCCTGGTACACTCTTGAGTCAGGTATCCTTGTGTTCTGTGAGGGACAGAATAGAATGGCAAGAGAAAATTCACAGCTTGTGTTCCCAGGGGGGAAAGGGAAATATTTATTCTGAAATAACTATTTACAGGTGACTATCCATTTACACAGAGTTACTTAAGCTGGTTGAAAGTAACTTGTAGACTGAGTATATTCCCAGAATTTTGGTACTAGTGGCTTCCTGACCTTATTAGCTATGCCTATGATTTATTTGCTGTGGTTTCAGCAGAGGCTTGCTTTAACCGACCATCGTGATTAATAAAATCTTTTTCAAACTCTGATAGCTTTGCAACTGTATTTGCCATTGAATGAAGGTTACAGAATTTTAACCCAACAAATGGAATTTCAGATTCACAGATGCCAAGTTTGATATATCTTTTGAGCCACTGTTTGGTTGTGTACCATGGAGAACTTATTTTTCTTATAGACTCCATCACTCCATTACAACAGAACATAACAAGGACAGCCATGTTAACGAAGACAATTCCATTACTCATTTTATAGTAAAAATTAATTGAAAACTACCCTGTGTCAGGTCTTCTGTTTGGCAAAGGTGATAAAATGATGAGCAAGATTGTTATATTTCCTGCCTGCCTTGGTCTCATATTCTTGCAGGGAAGACAGGTAAGTGAATGAACACCTCCAATAAAACACTAAGTAAAGTGATAAACACGCTCCAGGTGGAGCTGATGGGTCACTCAAGTGGGACCTGGCAGTGGAAGGGTTCAGGCACACTTCAGTGTAACGAGGAACGTGACAGCATGTGCACAGGAGCTGAGAGGCCTCTCTACTCTCGTCAGATTAAAAACTCTACTCTACTTTCTCACACAACACCTCTTCTCTAAACTACCAAACTTTTATAATCCATGAACACTCATAAGTAAGCATTTTGGTTGTAATCTAGTCTCACAGGGCAGGCAAAAAAGAGCTGCATCCCTCAGGGCTTGTTAGCATCCTCATAAGGAAGGTCAGTTTGGACAATGGGAACTGTATAATGACCAAGCAGCCATAGCAGGAATGGAAATTCAGAAAGACTTAATGGCCTTCTAAAGTGGAGCATTTGGCAAAGCTAGTTCAAGAGCAAGTAGGTGTGAGGGCTGTTGAGACCCCTTAATATATATTTTTTAGAGAATCCATTTTGTCTGTAGCCCGAATTTCACAGCAGTGATCAATGAATGTATACCAGAGTAACAGCATCTTTGACAGTACTGCTTGCCAAACTAACAGGGGAATAGCAGGAGACCCCTGGAGATTGCACCTAGGGGGCTAAAATACAAAGCTTCCTGCACTTGTGAGGTAGTGAGATGAAATTCCCCTTGGACATCTGTCATGCAAAATAAAGCCCCTTAAGAGATACATTCCCACAACAACCTGGTCCTTCTTTACCAGCCTTGACATTCATCCTCCCCACCTTGACTTTTGGCTTCATAAAATGCAAATACTTTAAATAATCTTGCAATAATTAATGCACTTCTATTTTTAAATGAACATCTGCAATTTCAGGAAGTGTTCATAAAACGTGTCTTTTTTTTTTTGATCTAGCATCTTCTACTCTGGTACTGCCATCTTCTTTCCTTCAAGTCCCTGTCAAAGAGATGCCTGAATGACTGACACTGATAAAGTGAAAGAACATTTTAGAAGGAAAAAAGAAGATATGTAAATCTGTCTTATAACATCAACACACTTCACCATGCTTGCAGACTCTTCATAAATCAGATTTGATAATGAGGACTGAAGGCACATGCAATGTGAGAAGAAAGTGTGAAGTTCATGTCTGAGAACTGAAGTGTTCTGATAATAAACTGAAAATTCCTGGGTTAATCAGAAGCTACTTTTTAAGTCTGGGTACAACTGGAGATGCAAGGCTCATATCTGTCTCTTTGCATTTGGCATATTTTCAAAGCTCTGAAAGTGTTTAATGTTCCTATTTATAAAATTATTCTGAAAGTAACAGAATTTCAGAACTAAATACAAACTATTATATGGCCCCTGGAGTATCATTTCAATAAATCATTAGCAAATAATAAAAATGCCATGTAATATGCACATACCTTTAGACATTAAAGTTGAATATGCCTTTGCATTTGTGCCTAGTTAGAAACACCATGCTGTGGGGAAAAAGTCTGGGGAAAAAATGAACATTGTTTTTTTTTAATGTTATTTCATTTCCCATTACATAGTTGCCCCACTTGCCTGTCTTTCTACCACCTGAAAACCAAATGGATATTCTGGGCTAGGTTAAGTTGCAAATGAATTTCATAATCTTACACTGGAGGAGTTTCTTTGTACCAAAACTGAAGAAATTGAGCCAGGGAATTGATAAGAACTTTCCAAGGTACAATAAATTAATACTTTGGCTCTCTGCCTCTGTAGAGCTACATTTGAATCTTAATTGCTAGTGGTCCAAGTACAGGAAATTTTATCAGGTCTAGCCTAGTGTATACAGTTGCTTTAGCATTAGGCAATTAGAGGTACACATGACTTTTCTTGACCAAGTCAAAGGATAGCAATAGGAAAGCAAAGGTTGTGAAGGATGAGCACTACCAGTAATGACAGAAGGACAGTGGAGTGGAATTTTATACTGTGCATGCACTTCATATTTATAGAGCATTTTTTCATTCCAACATCTCAAAACGATTTTAAGAGTACTTAGTTGCAAGGAGGTTATGTTCCTGATAAAGACATCAGAATGCCAACCTGCTAGGTTCATAACTAACCCAAGGTCATTTATACATGGATATAAAGATCTATGGCATGGAATTATAACTTTTTAACTCTCCAGGTCAAATTAGTTAAAACCTTGCATTCTGATCTCTATACTCTCTGAACTTTGTCTTTTCTCAGTGAGAGAACCAGGGAGGGGTGGAAGTAGAACTCGCATCTGGAGTCTTTCCTGGACATCAACAGAGGCCTTGAGAGCTGGGGGTCAAAGGGATTATCTGGGGCCATTTCTTCTTTTTTTAAAAAATATTTAAACCATGTGATGTGTTGATATTTATTAGGATAACATTTGATATGGAGAAACACTCTTAAATAATACACTTTGACTTTAATTGTATTATTAAAAATTGGGGCTGGAATGCTCTTTCTGACTATTAGCCCTACTAGGAAGTTCAGCTCAATATTCAATTTAAAATTAAAGTTTCAGACCTGTGCACAATGCTAAGCCCATAATAGTGATGCAAAATAAATTTATTCGATACAATGATGTAGCAAGTTGAATACATTATTAATGCAAACTTCTCCATAACATCCCATTTATGCCAATCTATGTAATATTTCACCACACATAAATATAAAAAAATCAGATAACTTCAATTTGATATTATTGCTTCTGCTTTCTTTTTCTAATGTATGGAGTAATTGATTTACATAAGTCTAAGTGTTTCTCTTCTGATGAATATATATTTTTGAAGGTGTGTTGAACTACAAAGATATTAAAGCAAAAGCAGTATGTCTTGGTTTCATGATGTCTAGAATAACTTGCAAATCATAATGACTTAGACTATCTTCATATATTTTTAGCTCTGAAACTTGCAAAGGTGCCCAGAGGCTAATAAATGATGGGTAAATTTCATAAAGGTAATAAATGCATAATAACTAACTAAATAAATAATAGATATATAGCTTTTATATTGACTTTTATGAGAGGTATATGTGTATAGGAAGAAGAGATACAGGTTGACAGCTTTTAAAGTGCTTTATAAAAGGATCCATTTAAATATAATATATTGCTATTATTCTAAAGGCAAATACTTCCCTATAAGTAAAGGGCCTGTCAGCATTTCTATTGGAAGCTTTCATTTTAAGAGTGTGTAAGTCAACCCTAAATTGTGCTGTCAGCTGAAATATGGTATATAAAGTTTCAGTGTTATTGCCATTTTTTTTAACATTTGGAATCAAGAAGCCCCCTCTTTTCCCACATGTGAACATTAATCTAAAGCAGAAGTCAGTAATTGCCATGCTATCAAATTTTATTCCATATGAATAAGATATTTCCTAACAAATCAAGGCTGCCAACACTAAGGAGCAAACATAAATAGATTTTTGTGATTTTGCTTTATGTCAGTGTTCTGGTCAAATATAATGTATAGGTGGATGCTGTAATACTGGCTTCCAAGTCATTTAGATGAAAATAATTATGCCTGGGGCACTGGAAAAATTTCAATTTTGAACTAGAGATGTGAAAGTATTAACAATCACGCCTGCTGAGATGAACTATCTACCAGTGACATTTAAAACTAGCCTATTCCTTTCTATTCTTTATGGGTTAGATGTCTATTTCAGGAATTTATGGCAAACATCTGATCCAAAAGTAGTTATGTTCTTGACAACAAAAAGTGATAAAGAAGCTATAGACAGCAATGAAAATTGATGGGAACAGAGAGTGATAAACAGCAAAAGAGTTCCATTAAGGACCGAATGATTGGTAAAGCCCAAGGAGAAGGGACTGAGAGGTAAATTGGAGTGCAGGTTGGCCATTTCACAGGTGCAATCAACCAGCTCTCCCACTCTTTCTGGTTTGTTCTGGATAGAAATCTGAAGGCAACTTACTCTTGCGAGATGAAAAGAAGGACAATGACTCACATTTTGGGGAAACTCAGTGTAATACAATCATTAAGATTCAGGTTATGTTCACAAAGGATTTCTTATTTACCAGGGTTGAGCAAAACAAAAATAAATAAAAGCATGACATGTAAGTTTACTAAAATGTGCTGTTTCTATTAATTTTTTTTAAGATTTTACTTATTTATTTTTAGAGAGGGAAGGGAGGGAGATAGAGAGAGACAAACATCAATGTGCAGTTGCTGAGGGTCATGGCCTGCAACCCAGACATGTACCCTGACTGGGAATCAAACCTATGACACTTTGGTTCACAGCCCACGCTCAATCCACTGAGCTATGCTAGCCAGGAGAAATCTTGACTTTTAAAAGCATTGTACAACCTTTTGTTCAGATATTAGGGATTCATATTTGGTCAGTTTTCTTTTTCAACAAAAGACTTAAAACACAACACTTCAGTGTTTTAGAAGTTACATTTAGGAATATGCTTCGTTTTCCTCTCAGCAAACAACCAGAAAACAAGCAAAGACATAATCATTTGTCCTTGCCTGTCATTCTCATTCATCACCACAATGCAGATATAAACTGACTGGAGAAACTTTGATTGCATTCTGTTCTCAAAAGCAAGTAGAGAAAGTGCCTATTATCATCCCGGGCATTTTGGGGTGTGTTAATTCATTTAATTATCCATACAGCATCCATCTGAAGAAGAAATTATTTTCCACTTATGTAGATGAGGAAGCTTAAGCTCAAATAATATCCAACTTGCCTGGCAGGTTCACATAACTAGTAAATTACTAGAGATAGGCCTTTCTGGCTTCAAAGTCCATTCTGTTTCTATGAAAGCAAATTATATACCATGTTAGGTAGAAAGTGTCAACCTGATGTTCTTTTTAGGAATTTCAAATTTTCTAAACAATTACAATGTTTGTTTTTATTTCAGCAGTTACTTATTACTATCTACCAACAAGTATGTAGCACTTAGGTGTTATAAAGTGGCTTCAAAAACATTTTCTAATTTGAGACTCCTGACATTCCTGTTGGTTTATAGATGGGAGTATTAATGCTTCAGGGCACAATCATTGGCTTCTTCATTTTCTATGTGAACACTCCTCAACTCTTGGCACACTGCTGAGTTTGAAATAGGCTCTCAGAAAGAGGTTCCTGGATAGATTTAAATATCTTCTGGTAGCCTGCATGAAGAAATAGATGTTTGTATAACTTCTTTTGTACCTACGTTGGCTTATCAATTCTGTCCATTTTATTTCACTGTAGGATGCTGAAGATGTCTGCATTTTGTGTTTAGTTTGGCTTTGAATCAGCTTGCCTTCCCCAGCAAAATGCAAATACATTTTATCTATTGGCTCCTTTTACACACCTGCTTCTGGATTGAGCTGGGGTACAGATTTAAAACTCCTTCACTCAGCCCAAGTGTGAAGAACAATAAAGGGAATGGCAGTGGACACAGCTTCCTCTGACTCAGGATGGAAGTGGCTTCATGGCAGATTGAGAGTTACACATGGTTTCTGGGCTGAGAAGCCCTGTACCAGTTCTCTACAAATCATCTGTTTGGTGGGTACTCTTAGAATGGGAATGGATATCAGGGTGAAGCCCAAAGAAGATGGGTGCCAAATAACAGTTTTGGCGTGGAATCAGGGCTCAGTTTATAGCTTTTCCAACCAGTCCTTGGCTCCCAGTTAACTTCTTTTCTGAGCAGATCTTCTCTGGCACTCCCTTTCTAAAAGGCATCTCCCAGAGGTTATGTATTTTCAACGCAGACCAAACAGAAGAATGGAGTTTACTATCATTGGTTTCATTGGTGTATATTAACTAGGAAGACATAATGGAAATCCAAATGTCTATTTAACCAGTGGAAAAATTTTCTCAAGTTCAAGATATATTAATAAATACTGTTTACTTAATTTCTTTTTCCTTTTTATCTTTTTAAAAAAATTTTATTTATTGATTTTAGAGAGAAAAGGAGAGAGAGCGAGAAAGAGAAACATCGATTTTTTTGTTCCTTTTATTTACGCATTCATTGGCTGATTCTCGTATGCACCCTGACCCACAGTCTTGGTGTATCATGACAATGCAGTAACCAACTGCGTTACCCAGCCGGGCAAACTTAACTTCTAATTTTATATTACTAAAGGAAGAACGTTATAGCAATATTCAGTAGTTAAATTTCCATTTTGCAAACTTGCTTGTGCTTTCGTTTTCGTTTCCCACCAATATTAAGAAGTAAAATAATTTAAAGAAATATCCTGCATTATTGTGAAGACTTAATCCAAAAATGAGATTTCTTTAGGTGACATAATATCTCCTTTAATGTTCTATTCTGAAGTAAATTTTAGAAAGCTTCTAGTGTTTTATATTTTATTTATTTTAATTCATGATCACTTCTGAGTGTGAATGCAATAAACTCCTTCCTCTGTGATCTGGCTGCCTCCCTGTATCTTAATAGTCTAAGAGTGACAAGCACGAGTCCTGAAAAGGGACCTCAGGGCATTGTGCAAAGTCCTGAGACTTTGAATTTAGCTTCACACTGGAAAAGGAATGGCATCTTAGAGAAAATGGGCAAAATGTAGAATGAACACTTGTTTGCTTCTTCGCTTTGTCCTTTCGTGATAGCACACTGACCGTGGCAACTGAAGTAAAAGCAATGATATGAAATTTTATTTTGTAATGTGTTAAAGAAGACAAGTGCCTTCTGGACTGAAAATGAATGTAATATACACTAAGTTTCAGCTGGGAGCAATTTTTCCTCATAGACAGTTATAATAAATTTGTTCTGGAAGCTTACGAGTTTTATAATGGAAATGCTGAACCAAACTTAACAGAGGCATTATGTGAGAGCGTGGATATAATAATAGCTCTGAAACCTCCAGAACAAGAGGGCAATGAGATCCTTAGTGAGTAGGAGGGAAAGACTGAGATGTATATAAAAAATGCATGGCAGAAAAGAACAAATATGTGTTTTCAGTATTGCAACCCAACATTTTGAATTATTTGGGGGATGATTTCGGTGGCTGTCTTTACAATGGAGTTAAATTGGTTGCTTATTTTAGCCACTGCATTGGTTCAGCTTCACACTGTTCCATTCTAAAAATGCATCCACATATCAGTCAGCTGCAAAGTGCTTGACTCAGCATGTGTGCCTGCTATGAGATTAGGGAAAGTGGATTGAAATTGGAGAGCATAGATTTTGAAAGTTTACTAAAAGATTGGTGATCTCAACAAGCTAAGCAGGGCAAACCAGAGTGACTTCCAATGGGACAAATCTCTACCACGCTTTACAACATTATCTGTATTTCAAATTAATCCCATTCGACTCTGTTTGGGTACATTATATTTGAATGTTTATCTTAAACACTTACATTTTATTGTTGGATTTCCTGCTTACTAAACCACCAAATAAAGTAATGGTGCCTTAGCAGTGAGGAAAATTAAAAACAATATAATGACATTGAACAGTATCAAAATCATCTTCCTATTAACTTGCACAACTGCACATGTGTGTCAGCAATCACAGATTAAAGAAGCAATTATTCTGAGCAGGGAAAACGTGAAGCTGATACATAATACACCAACAGCCTGTGAGCTCGAGAGCTTCCATTTTGGTGCCGTTGTAAGCAGAATTGTAAAAATCTGTTCAACCATAACCCATCATTCTAATAAAATTTGAAATGCCTATACTGATAAAT